TCCTAGATGGATTTTTAGTGCTGATAGTCTATCATCTGCTGATGGTAGCAATTAAGTTATACATCTATAATCACTCTATGGCATTACAAACATCTGTGGAAATCCCACCCTAAAACTCCAGGCAGTCTGTCATTTTATTGAGTCCCTTTTCTCCTAGCTCTTGATTCCGGTCATCCTCATTGTCATCAGAAGAGTGAAAGGCATCCCTCAGGGACCAGATGGATGTGCTGTAATCAGCCGGAAAATTTCATTTCTTTTGCAGCACTTAGCTCAGGGATGGAGGCACCATGCAGAGGCCTTTTATTGGAGGATGTCTGGCCTCAACTGCAGGAAGTGATTCCGCTCAGCCAGGAATTGCCTCAAATGAACAACCCCTTTGTCCGAGGTCATGCCCTCCCCCTCCAGTGACAGATTCTGGGAGATCGCAGAGGCTCAACCTCTCTGGCATGGTGGGACAGGGCTGAAATCTCCGCATATAGGAGGCTGAGGCAGGAAGATGGTCAGTGTGTAGCCAGTGAGTAGCCAGCCTGGGCTACACAGTGAGACCTTGTCTCGACAAACAAATGAAATGAAAAAGTAACGTAGAGTCTCAATCTTTCTTGTGCAACTCTGGGGAGCCATTTTTGCCTGTGAGCTCTGCGGGGATTAAAAGAGGCTGCTCTCGGCAGGTACTGCAATGACTTTATTAACTAATTCAACGTCTGTGTCTCCTTTTCACTGGTATACACCTCAAGGTCACTTCCTGATAAACTTCCTGCACACTGCATTTCCTGTTGGAGTCTGGTCCTCAGGGAAGCTAACTTGCAATAAATGTAACCGGGGCTGACATTTTCAAGTGTCTTTTAATTACATGGGTTAAGGGCAAGTCACTGACTTGGAATAGGCATCAACTGCTCGAGCTGTATGTCTCTCACGGTCCAACTGCCGGTGCCACCTTCAAGGAATCAACAACACCTTTGCCGACTCAAATTCGTGGCATTTGGACACTAAGTATCCACAGCCAGAGACTACATTATATAACATCTTTCCTCCGCAGAAGATTTTTGGGAAATCTTTTCTGCCTCCCTGAGTCAGTGATATACCTCAAAGTAAATTAATTTTCCATCCTACTTGTCAACTGTTTTCTTAGATCTAATCGTCTGCAGCAGTAAGTTTGCTGCCTTAATTTTAAATGCCCTTTTTTGTCCTGTCCCAGTTAAGTTGTTTGTGTGAAAAATGTGCAGTTGGGTTCCGGAGATCAGTTCCCCTGTGGTTTTCCCTGTTTGGAAAATAGTGTCTGGCTTACCTCCTGGATACAGAGTAACCAATCCCTGACCCTTGCTGTTGGAGGGCTATATAAGCCCATGTTGGTCCGAATAAGAGAGCTGCTTCCCTGACGAACTGAAACTGGGTGTCTAGAGTGCTGTTTAACCTCCGTGTCCCTCGCCAGATTTCTTGCTCCAGCTGCGCGGGCCGCAGCAGTCAGTGACTTAAATGCATGAACGTAAACGTCAATAAGAAGGGTTCTAGTTTTATGCCAGGCAATGACCTAATATTTAAAATTTTTTCACGTAGTTATTCCAGCTATCTTTCGCTTTTCAGCAGCTGGTCCAATGTAGTGACATAAAATGACAATAATGAGCCAGGTGTGATGGCGCACGCCTTTAATCTGCACTCGGGAGGAAGAGGCAGGTGGATCTCTATGAGTTCCAGGATAGCCTGGTCTACTTAATGGCAGGTGGATCTCTATGAGTTCCAGGATAGCCTGGTCTACTTAAGGCCAGGACGGCCTGCCCTATAAAGCAAGACACTGCAGGGAGGGGGGGGGGAACGACATGACACAGACAGGACAGAGGGAACGGGGGGAGGGAGGGGGAGGGAGAGAGGGAGAGAGAAAGAAGAGGAAGAGGTAGAGGAAGGAGAAGGAGGAAGGAGAAGAAGATGAGCCGGCGGTGGTGGCGCACGCCTTTAATCCCAGCATTCAGGAGGCAGAGCCAGGCGGATCTCTTTGAATTTGAGGCCAGCCTGGTGTACAGAGTGAGTTCCAGGAAAGGTGCAAAGCTACACAGAGAAACCCTGTCTGGAAAAAAAACCCAACCCCCACCCCCCTCAAAAAAAAAAAAAAAAAAAGAAGGCAGAGGAGGAAAGGAAGGAAGGAAAGAAGGATGATAACAATTACTCATTATTGTCATGTCTCAAGATTCTGGGAATTAACTACTATCATCATGGATGTGGTATGTCAGAAACAGATATGTCTCTGTCTTTCCACATTGTCAGAATTTATTGTTTAACAATAAATCCACAATCTGTAGCAGTTTCATTGGCCGTCATTCAGCAAGTAATCCTGATTTTTACTTCAAGGCATGGCTGTCTGCCGCTATCCTAATTTCTAATACTAACTCAGATCACACCTTACATAATTATGTATAGTTTACGAATGGCTACGGAGTGATTAAAGAAGTTATGGTTCCAAGAGGCCTTCCCACAGGTGGAGGCAGAGAGTTTATGACCTGCAGAGAGAACCACTGCAGTTAGATATTAACAAACCCAGTCACACAGAGGTTGGTGGTATGAAGAGGTGGTTCAAGGCTGAGCTGAGATGCAGGACTGAATGCAGTCCAAAGGCAGTGTGGGCTGTGTGAAGCAAAGGGACCACCCAAACTCAGCTGATTCCATGAGGCATGCTCTAAACCAGAGATGCCCAACTCTGGTTTCTTTGTGCAGATCTCTGAGCAGATGGAAGTTACAGGAAGTTGTGAACTGGTTATAATCTGCCAGGTGGATGCTGCTAACTGAACCCAGGTCCTCTGGAAGAGCAGCCCGGACTCTTCACCACTGAGCCATCTCTCCAGCACCACATCTTTGTTGTTGTTGTTTGTGTGTGTGTGTGGGGGGGTGTTTGTTTGCTATATGTCTGTGCACCACATGCATGTTCTTGCTCCCAAGGGCCAGAAGAGGGCAATATTCTCCTGGAACTGGAGCTACCAACATACTTTTAAAGCCTCTTGATTTATGAATTTTCTTGGTTCTGTAACCCTAAAGACTTCATAAACTGTTACCACTTTGGGACACAGTATTTGGAGTAATCTAAGTCTGTGTTTTTGGACCGCAGTCACCCATATTTAGCTCCAGAATAAACTCCCCATTCCTTTTGTGGTGAGGGCTGTACTGTGTCTATAAAAACATCCCTTGCAATTTGAAAACATTAAGTCACACACATATATTTTAAAAGCTGTGTTTTCTCTTTCAGCGTTCTCACTGTCCTTCTTCTCTTGGACAGCTAGGTGGCAGTGTAGATCTTGATTCAGGTCAGTACTGCTGCGAGCCAAGCAAGCCCTGATGAGAGCCACAGAAAGACAGAGAGGAGGGACCAAGAGGTAAAAGTTAAGTGAAGCGTACCAATGAAATGTGAGTGTAGTTTTAAATTTAAAAAAAAGTGATAAAATTGATAAGTAGTGGTCACTAAATACGTAAGGGAAAGGAAATGATAAAAACAGGTTAAATTTATAAAAAACAAAGTCAATGGAATAAAATGAAAGACACGAGGAAGTTCTATTACATTTATTTATTTACCATTTGTATCGTGTGCGCAGGTGCCACAGCAGATATGAGGGGACCAGAGGACAATTGGCAGAGCTTAGGCTGAGCTCGGGGTGTCAGCCTTGGCAGCCAAGCACCTTTACCCACAGAGGCATCTCACCTGCCGGAGAAGACACAATCTTAAACTCAGGAGGAAAATTAAAAAAAACAAACAACTTTCAAATGATCTGAATATCATTTGCTTATCCATTCATTCATGCAATCACTACTGCCGTGTGCATGACATTGCATCCAGCACTAAGGATGTGGCAAAGGAGCAGGGTAAGAATCCTTTCCTAAGGACCTCGTGGTCTACCTCGGGAGAAAGGCATTAGACAGGTTATGTAATGGAACAAAACATCTGTCTTAAAGGAGAAGCAGAGGGTAGTATGTGTTTAACTGGGTTTCAGAGCCCAGGGAAGCTTCGTCTGAGAAATGTGTCAAACAGGAATAAGACCTTTCAGAATGAAAATGTAAGAAGGTCAATGAAGGGGCTGGTGAGATAGCTCAGTGCTTAAAAACACTGACTGTCCTTCCTTTATAGAAGCTATTAAAAACTATTAAAATCTATTAAAAGCTATTAAAGTAGGTACTATTTTACATTTATTTATTTGTGTGTGTGTGTGTGTGCGCGCGCGCGTGCGCGCGCGCACACCTCTCATGTCATGACATATATGTGGAGGTCAGAGGACAACTTTCTGGATTAGTTCTCTCCTTCCACCAGGTGGATTCTGGGGATCGAACTCAGGTTGATCAGTCTTGGCAGCAAGTGTCTATCCACTGAGACATGTTGTGGCCCCCAGTTGTACATTAAACAAATGACGGGAAGATAGTTCACTGAAAAAGTACCACCAGTAAGCCAGGACTTTAAAAAATATGCAGCCAATCTTGTTGGTGAAGCAGCCGCAAACTAAACCTCCTGTGAAGTCTCATTTTATACCTAAAAAAGAATCAGAAAAACTTTCCAAAAGTTATGAAAATCCATGCCTGCAAGGCTTTGGGAGAGGAGATATGCTCATGCATTAATGAAAGCAATGTAAATTGATCCAGTTTTTCTGAAGGGCAAAACAGTACTTTATTGAAAGAATCATAAATATACCTAACCCCTGACCAAGGGATAGAACTTATCCTGAGGAAAAAATGTTTAATAAAAAACAAAAAAAATGACATATAAAATGTTTATTTTATGATAGTAAAATGCTGGGAGAAAGCTAAGATTCTTCTGACAGTACAGATCATGGAGGGTAACTGCGGTATATTAAAATGATATACTCCAGTGACATGCTAAAATGATCAATATGAAAATGATATAAGAAATAGACAGTATTTGGTTAAATCATGTTACACAAAAGAGAGCCTACCAGGCTGAACACACACTCTGACTGTACTTTAAAAGAACCATGCATGTGCATGAGTCACAGAGAAGAAAGCAGATGGAGGGGATTTTTCAAAATAGTTTCGGAACAACAGACGCGTAAATTTTTCTGTAAAGTTGTTCAATACTAGATTTTTAAAAATGTTTTTTTTTTTTTTTTTTAGTGACACAAAATAAGTTTATTGTTTGGCCTTCTGTCTTTGTAAGTTTGGTACAATAGTGGAAAAGCTTGCAAAAACTGTCCTTTCCTCTGATCTTCAAGCAGTCGTGTTGCTCAGGGCATTTCCTATTGGCTCTGTCACTCACCGTGGACAGCGTTTCCTCAGTCTCATGAGGCCCCTGAGCTCATGGATGAATGAGAGCACTCTTCTGAGTCCTAGTCTGGTCAAATTCAAGTGCTCCAATGAACACATAGCCTTGTCTCCTCGTTCCACATATTTTTGGTGTGATCTTCACTAGCATATGTGTCTCTATAGATTTAAGGTAAATAAAAATAACACTGAAAAGCCATTCCATTGACACTACTGCTTTGACAGGCAATAAGGGTTAACTGGTCACCATACTCAATGCTTTCTCAACAATCCTTCTGTAATTATGACAGTATCCCCAAGGAAGTTTTACATGCACCCAATTATTTTATAATAAATATTAATATAAGGCTCTATTGCAGTTGTATGTCCTGACTACATATCTCCTGAAGACTTATTCTTGTTCTGTAATAGCCAGCATTCAGGATTTGGACCATGTGACAGGTAGCCTGGGGTACATATGAACCTGTCTCAAAGACTAAAACCATGAGAATATAACCTATGTTTTAATCTCTACACTATATTGGAGACCACTCATTAACCACAGCAACAGTAGGTGGCTAAAGGTAAACAGATACAAACTTCTCAGAACCTAATGAGAATAGTAAGAGCCAGAGGCTGACTTTCACTGTGGGCTACACATCGACACTGCTGAGTTTATATGACGCACTTCTCAGATATTACTCTCACAAGAAGCACAAATGAAAATGCAAGTCATTATGCAGGCTTAGATATAGAAGTGGTGAGACCCAGAAGAGCAAAGCACACTCATAATAGTGTCTTGATAAGAAGCAAAATCTGTGGAGCCTCCTGCTAATCACCACAATCCAGAACCTGGGCTGTGCTCTCACGATATCGACTCAGTTGAGAGATTATAATCCATAAGAAGAAATCTGAGAGAAAGAAGAAAGTGGAAAAGGCAAAAGGCAGATTGTATTTTCCTCCTAACTAATCATGGAGCTCTGGAGTCAGTTTCATGGTTGTTGATATTAACTATTAAATGTAATCAAGGGAAGAAGGTTGATTTCTTAATTTCACCACATGCATAACTATTGTGAGCTAATTGTGCTGGGGATAAGAGTGACTTTGCTAGTTTAAAGGCTCAAGTTTGATGGCCTTCCTTATCATTTGCTATTCCTCTGTTCATGTTTTTCCAGGCTTTTTCTTTCTACCAAGACCACAGGGCTTATGTTCCACCCCTTTTTAGGCTCTAGAGCTTGTAGGGCCATGAAATTCTACTATCAGGTTAATGTTCACATTAGATTTTTAAAAATGTTTTAATGCTGTCATTAAAAAAATGACATTTTTTCCCCTAGGACCCTGAGCTGCCTTAAAAAATAGTTACTTACTGCACTTCTAAACTCAGCATGTCAACTGATGACAGTGTTTCCATTTAGTTACCTGAAATTTATTGAGAAAAAAAAAGATATATATATTGAGACAGATTCTCACTGTGTAGCCCTCACTGGCCTGGAGCTCTCTATGTAGATCAGGTTAGCCTAGAAAATCACAGAGATCTGTCTCTGCCTCTTGGGTTCTGGAGTTTAAAGCCTGGGCCACTATGCCTGTCTGAAACTGCAGTTAGAACGGAAAAAACAGAATTGTAAAACAGATGCACGTGGTGGCCATTGCTCAGTCCAGACCCAGGGAATGGTCCAGCCCAGAGCTGTTTCCTAGTTAGTGAGCAGGAAGGAACCTCAGGGTCCTAGCCATCAGCCGGAAAGAGACTTGCGAAACAGGACTATTGTGGGGAGAAGGAGGCTAAGGTTAGGCTGTGCCCTGCTCTAAGTTCCTCCATCTACTGTGCACAGCATCGAGGTTTTCATGCTATGCCTTGCCCTGAGAGACTCCATTTTACAAGGAGCCCCTGACTATTGTGAGGTTGGAGGATGTGCCCCCCTGGGTAGACACCACACTGCACCACTTTCCTGACACCACTCACCGAACACAGGCTGAGGGGTGGCCTATTGCTAGGATAGAGAAGACACCAGACTATACATCTGTCAGAATAAGTTGAGAATTAAAGAGCATGTAGGCTCATTAAAATTATATCAGAAAAATTGAGCCCAACAACTTACCGGACACAACAACCCAAGGAAATGACATAACTCCCTCACCTAGACCTCATAAAGAGATAGACTCCTCATCCTGAAATGGTGACAGCCCCACTTATCTGCTGTATGACCATTAAATTTATGCATCAAGAGACTCACTTGGAGAGAACTCCCAACACTGTCGCAGGAGTTTGGTTGGGCATGGTCCCTGCTGTTGATACAGCCGACTCAGATTGCTGCCTTCCAGTCTAGTCCGGTGTGCCTGTCTGGGGTTGCCTCTGTCGATCCACATGTTTGTTCTTCAATTCGATTCCCCGCTTTAGCCTCTGCAGCTGGAATCAACTCCAGAGCTCCGCTCTGACTGTGCAGCCTGACCCTCCAGCCCCGCAGTTGGTGGGTCCCCAGAGGATGTAAGGTGTCCAAGAGGGAAGAAGGGAGTCAGGCATGATGCTTGAGAGAATCTTGTACCTCTGAATGACTACTAGACAGCTTGCTTCTTTATTTATACTGATTCAGAAGACAAAGACAGACTCATGATTTAAGGTATAGATTACATCAATTTGTCACTGGACATACGTTTGATTTTCTATAACATGTCTAGGGGCATAAGTTTAGTTACAATTAATAGGTACAGATAGAACAGATTTTGCTTTTTATCATAGTCCCTTAACCCTATTTCAAAGACTGTATTAGACTATTTTATTAGGGCAAGCATATTTAATATAGAACAGCCTGTTTGCAGGCTGGCAACATTTGTGGTTTCAAAGGATTAGGTAAATAGGAAATAATATCGGCGCCTGTTCAGGTGAATCATCATGCCTTGAATAGTATACTATCAGTCCTTAGAGTACAAATTATTATTCATTAATTAGCCTGTCATTGAAGTTTTAATTTTCTAGGAGCATACCCTGCACATCCCCTATTTAGCATATTACTTATTCAGCAAGCTCTGAGCATAATGTAATCTGAGCAACTCTAATCTGCTGCTAAGCTTCCTGGTTAGTTGGAGCTTGTCAGTCTTCTTTAAGTTTACATTGTTTTAATCATCTTGTTTGAATTTTCCTAGGGGAACATGTACCAAGAAGATTCTGAAGTCATGGCCTCATAAAGAAAGTGTCTAGTGTCTTTGTGCTTATCACCATCTCCAGGGCATACGGAAGACTTCCGAACAGGGCCGGAAAAAATTATTTTCCTAAAAGTGAGAGGGGGAAAGAGTTCAGGCCTTTCCTCAAGAGACTCAGACATAATTTTCTCGGGGAAAAAGATATTAAATGAAGTATAATGTAAAAAGCCCCCCAAGCCAGCAACACTCAGAGACCAAAACCAAAAGCGAGAGACTGGATGCTGGCTGTCATAACTTTGGGTTCAGCTCTGTGAGAACTGTGTCATATCACTGTGCTGGCTTTATGACTCTCACTGTTTCCAGTAGACATGGCTGTGCCGATAGATTTACTGTGTGCTATCTACTGGAAAATCTGAGCACCAAGATTAAGTCATTAAGATTAAAATAACAGAATTTATATTGGCCTCTGTCAGAGCTCTCAAGGAAAGCAGGGTTGTCTGGGAAATTGTTGCCCATGAAACCACGGAACTTTTATAATTTGTTAGTCAGTAAATTCAGACACCGTGGAAAGAGAGAAGTGTGTTTATTAATGTTTCTAGAGTGAGACAAATTATATCTTCCAAAACGGTGTGTTGAAGTCCCAAGTCCCAAGCTTGTGAATATGGTTTTATTTGGGCATATGAATTCTGCCAGCCTCTGGGCATCTGGGGGAGATGGTTCAGTGAATAAGAGCTTGCTGTACAAGTCAGAGGACCTGATTTCAAATCCCAGCATCCACGTAAAAGCTAGGAGTGGCCATATGTGCCTGCAATCCCAGAGCCGGGGGTCGGGGAAGGATAGACACAGGCATGTCTCTGGAGCTCCAGGTTAGCCAGCCTAGCTCACATGACCTTCAGATTTGAGGAGAGACCCTCTCTCGAGAAAGCAAGATGGAGAGCAATAGAGAAGACATCTGATGTCCTCCTCTGGCTTCCACACGGGGCTTAACACCTGAGTGCACACACACACACCTATTTGTACAAATGCCACATGTTCCTGTAAGGTTTTGTCACCTTGATATACCGTCAATTAAGAATATGTCCCCACCAGATTGGCCTGTGGGGTATTTTCATGATTAATGATTCATGTGGGAGGGTCCAGTTCACTGTGGTGAGGGCCATCCCTGGGCACGTGGTCCTGGGTTGTATTAGAAAGCAGGCTTGCAAGCCACGAGGAGCAAGCCAGTAAGCAGCACTCCTCCATGCCCTTTGCATCAGCTCCCACCCCTGGGTTCCTGCCCTGACTTCTCTCAGCGGTGGGCTGTTACCTGAAAGCCCAAGATGGAATAAACCCGTTCCTCTCAAGTTGCTTTTGGTCATGCAGAAATAGAAAACCTGACTAAGACACCGCATATGAGCACACGCAAGTGTTTTATCACTGTAACAAAGTTAAGGTGCACTCATACTGGGTTTGGTTGAGCTCTAACCCAAGGACCTCAAGAAATGACATCTGTGCACAGGGAGATTTTGTGTAGACACTGGGAATCAAATCAGCTTGTGATGAAGGAGGCAGAGGCTGGAGTGACAGACTACCAGCCGACAAATGCCCAGGACTGAGGGAAACAAGAGGGAGGTTTTTTTTTTGTTGTTGTTGTTTGTTTGTTTTTTGTTTTTTTTGGTTTTTCGAGGCAGGGTTTCTCTGTATAGTTTTGCGCCTTTGCTGGAACTCACTTTGTAGACCAGGCTGGCCTCGAACTCACAGAGATCCGCCTGCCTCTGCCTCCCGAGTGCTGGGATTAAAGGCGTGCACCACCACCGCCCGGCCAAGAGGGAGTTTTCTTCCTTGGGTTTCCCGCAGGAAGCAACCCTACTAGTGTCTTAGTTTGGGATTCTAGACTCCAGGACAATGGCAAAATCAATACCTATTGTTTTGAGTTATCCAATTTATTGGCTCTGTTATAGTAGCCCTGGGAAATGAAGCTAGAGGATTAAATGTGTTGCCTGATGGAAATATCAACAAAATCAAAATGGACTGCAGCTGACTGTGATCACCAAGGAAGTGGTAAAATCAATGATTCATCATTTGTAGGCATGGGCATAGATGAAATCTGCGCCCCTAGTTGGAAAAGAGGCCAAGGGTATCAGATCCAGCACACTGGATTTTATTTTATTTATGTATGTGGGTATATATATATATATATCTGTGCTCTATGTGAAGAAGGCATCAGATCCCCTGAGACTGGAGTTATAGATAGCTGTGAGCCACCATGTGGGTGCTGGGAATTGAACCCAGGTCCTCTGAAAGAGCCCCCAGCGTTTAAAAGCTGAGCTGTCTCTCCAGCCACAGCACATTGTTTCTTTCTGGGCTGACTTGCAAAATAAGAACGACTTTTAAAATGTGTAGTGCTTTGTTGGAAATCAAAAGGGCACTAATACTTGATGACATTTCAATTACATGAAATGTGGGCCCGTTAGATGGCTCAGTGGGCAAAAGCGCTTGCTGAGTGAGCCTGATGGCCTGATCTCAAAAGTTGTCCTCTGACCTCCATACACGTGTGTCACACACACACACACACACACACACACACACACACACACACACACAGGGATTTAAAATTCTTAATAAAATCCAAGTTCTATGTCTGTAACAGGACCATGTTGACCCAGTCACACCTGTGTATTCTATGGCTGCCCACAGTAAGTGCAAATAAAATAATTTGGTTCCCTAGGATGCAAAAGAAGGATGAGATTTTCTTCATTTTCATTTTTAAACACCCGTCAGGGCTCATCCGCTGCACATCCTTAGGAGATGTACAAAAAACCTTTTATAAAGCTCATTTAAAATCTCTGGTCAGTTTCCCCCCCGGGAATGTTTTCACAAAAAACTGGGAGCTTTGAAATGCAATTGTCAAAGAAGGCCGTATTCTTATCTCCCAAGTTCCCTACGAGGGAAGGAGCCTGATTTTGGCTCATATCGACTCCAGAGATGAGAAAAATGTATTATTCCTTTGGATTAAAGGCAATTTAAATGGTCACCCCAATTACCAAGTGGATCTGGTGGGATGAGCTGTGGTGTCAGACGTGTGTTCAGATCTTTTTACTTGAGGACTGTTTTCATTTATCTTGGAAAGTGTGGCTGATGACATTCAAAGGTGAGATTTCATTCTTTCTTCAAAATCTGTTCAGCACATTGCTTATAATAAATATTGTTTTGTCTTAGTAGATATTCATAATAAATAATTTTCTTTTTTCCCCCTCTTTACAGCAATGCTTTCTGGATGGGCAGTGTTACCAGGGAAATTGGTATCCCTTTTTGGAGTTCTTAATTTCATTAGTAGAAGAATTTAATAAGAACAGACTCAGAAGAAAACTTGAAGGCATTTTTTGTTGTTGTTGGTTTTTTGTTGTTGTTTTGTTTTTGTTTTTGTTTTTCAAGACAGGGTTTCTCTGTGTAGCTTTGTGTCTTTCCTGGATCTCACTCTGTAGACCAGGCTGGCCTTGAACTCACAAAGATCGGCCTGCCTCTGCCTCCTGAGTGCTGGGATTAAAGGTGTGCGCCACCACCGCCCGGCATGCATTTTTATTAGAGCTTAAAGGGAAAACTGCAAGGCAAGTAAGCTGTAAACATCAACATCTTGGGGGATGGTGATGGTGGAGGAGAGCGAGAAAGCCAGGCTACTGCAGCTAAGCCTACAGGCTTATCAAAGGAGGTCAACCCCATGGCCAGATGGGAAAGGGTGCTTCAGAGAAAGAGTAAGAAATCCCAAAGAGTTGGGGAGAGCATGCCCAGACTTACCCAGGTCAGTATAGAAGGAGGAGGAGGAGGAGGGGAGGGGAAGGGAGAGGGGGGAGAGGCAGAGGGCGGGGAGGGGGGGAGGGGAGAAAAGAGGTTAAAAAGAAGGAAAATTGTTATAGACAGAACCTCGCAGGGCCTCATGGTTGGTCTGTCTATAGTGAATGCACAGAAGGTAAAGTTTCTGGGAAGGAAGAAGTACATTATCTCTTCAAAAGGTTAATTACTCATCCCATCTCATTAGCACAGCACTGGGTAAATCTACCTTCTTGAGAGGTGGTCTCTTGGGAGATGGGCTAGCCCAACTGAATTGGTGATTATGTTTGGGGTAGCTTGGGATCTCTGGTCTCCACCATTCACATGGGACATAGTCATACATCCAGGATAAACACCATACACATAAAATATTTTTTAACGATTCAGCTAGTAGAAAGAGAGTATGTGGTACATATATACAGTAGAATTTTCAGCTGCAAAGAAAAATGAAATCATGGCAGGTAGGGAAACAGATGAACTTGACATCATGATGTTAAATGTAATAACCAGATTTAGAAAGATAACTACTGCATGTCTTCTGTCATAGGCTGACTCTAGGTGTGTGTGTGTGTGTGTGTGTGTGTGTGTGTGTGTGTGTGTGTGTGTAAAATAGAAGGAGGAAGCTAGGATTCAGATATAAGAGATAACATGTACTTGTCTTTCTGAGTCTGGGTATCTCATTTAGTATAATTTCAAGACTGGCTCATTTTCCTACAACACATTTTATAACTTCATTTTTTTCTTTTGTGAAACCAAAGCAGGAGACCACACTGTTGTTAGGGAGCCACACTGTTACACATTGTTAGTAAGTCTCCATACCTTACAAGAACAAGTTTCTGTTTCCTAAGCCTAATGTATCCTGCAAATCTTATGTTTTTCAACCTATGCTGAACTTGTGACCCCATGATGTACCCTCACCCACCCCTTTGCCTTGCCGAACTGCACCTGTGATATATGACTGCCCTTTTACCTTATGAAAATGTGTCTTCCCTGATACCTTGGTGACTCCCCCTTCCACGTGATGTATTCTCACACTTATCTACCCCTTGAACAGCCTTGAGCCCTGAGTCCCCCATTTTTCTGTACAGGTGATACCAGCCAATGATCTCGACAACTGTTTTCTACTAACCCCAACCCTTCCCCATAAAAGGGACCTCAAACAACAACAACAACAACAACAACAACAAAAATTGGTAGTATTTAGCAGTGAGTTCATCTAGACCTCTGTGAAGAGACTTTTCAAAACAGATTTATTTTATTTTTGACTGTGTGTGTGTGTGTGTGTGTGTGTGTGTGTGTGTGTGTGTCCGTGAAGGTGCCCAGGTATATCTGTAGGGTCATCTTGATTAGGTAAATGGAGGTAGGAAGACCTGCCCATTGTGAGTGGCACCATTCCCCAGGCTGTAACTGATTATTATCGGGAACAGGCAAAAGCACCTAGTCCTAACTACTTGCCATTCTGACTTCAGACTCCATTTTACCTGTAGGGTGAAGCAACGGTCAAGTTCCCGAGTCCTGGGGAGCTGGGAACTCTCCAATAGCTGACCAACCTCCTCCTTAAATAATAGAAATAGTCTTTAGTTCTTTAGAAACATTATGGCTGTTCCTAACAACAAAAAGAACAAATGAATCTGATTGGCTGGACTGAAAAGCTTATGTTTTGTGTGGTTGACAACAATGGAACACACGAGGAAAGCCCCTAATCTTTGACTCCTGATGGGTGGAAAATTGTAACTGTTGACCTGGCACAGGCGTTTGTGGGTTTTGTGCTTATAAACCTCGCTTCTACCCCTTCCCAGGGCTGCCAGGAGAATCGAGGCAGCCCTCATCGATCAGCGATCCCACTTATTATTGGTGATTTATTAAAGACTTCGCTGTTTCACGGGCTCATAGGCGTTGTCTCTCTCCTTCCTCGTGGAGCACAACAGACACGTCCTAACACTATTGAAAGGCGAGTCATCATAAGCATTCATTCCGCTCTGCTCCTTGACTGTGGGTACCATGTGACAGCCACCTCAGACTCTTGATGCCATCCCCAAATCTGGTTTCTGTGACTTCTACACTATGATGGATTGCAACCTGGAACTGTGAGCAGAAACAACCCCTTTGTCCCTCAAGCTGCTGTCGTTAGGGTATTTCAGCACAGCAACAGGAACCGTAACAAAGACAGCAACACCCAACTGTAGTATTAGAGAGCCTGCATTACTTCGAGTTTGGAAATGCACTATTCCTGTACCAACAGACTGATCCTGGAGTTACACTAAGGAGTCACCCCGGAGTGGAAAGGCACAGTGTTGATAGAAACTTAGACTATAAATATCACTTTTATTGTGAGTGTAAGAAGGAACCAAATGGAAGCCATTTTGAGTAAGCAGCACTTGGGAGGCAGAGGCAGGCGGATCTCTGTGAGTTCCAGGCCAGTCTGGTCTACAAAGCAAGTTCCAGGAAAGGCGCAAAGCTACACAGAGAAACACTGTCTCGAAAGAAAAAAAAAAAAAGCCTTCCATCTTGAAAAGTAGGGTGAAACAAGGTTTAAGTTCCCGAGACCTTCCCAGACCTCCCTGACATCCTGGTTGGCAAGTTGAGATATGAATGGTGGCCAAGTTGCCCTGCCACCGTTGAGTAAACAAACTAATGAGGACAAGAACAGTGATTCACCGGAAATGTTCCTAGGAAAGTCCCGTATCCCTGAATCCCGACAGGTGAAAAATGTAACTGTGATTTGGTACAGATGTTTGCAGTTTTTCTGCTTAAATATTTGCTGAAATGAACATTCAGGGACGCAGTCAGCTCCCGAGTCTGTACTGTTGTCCCTGGGCGTTAGTTTTTGATGCCCAGTTCAATAACGATCTTGCTTTGTGTGGACTTTGTGCCTGCTTGGGTTGTTTGGACTCTCGGACTCCACAACGTGACCTTATTTCTTATAAGTTGATGGTGTGAAGAAAACGAGAAACGGTTTGCCCAGCTCTGGAACTCTAAGTTCTGGGAAAGAGGTTGCCAGTTTTCCTTGTGGCTTGGGTTAGCCAGAGACAGTCCAGGAAGCATCGACACTATAACCTACCCAGCTGTGTCCTCTACGCCAGGGTCCAATGCTGTTTGGATCGGATCATGAGCGCCATCTGTAGGCAGAATGCTGAAAATTAGAGAAAGATTCCTGGAGACTGTCCAGCATTTCCTGTCCAGATCAGGAAAAACGAAACAGGAAATGCTCTTCTCTGGGTCTCTGACCCTCTTTATACTGTTTCGGTTCTTTTGGATTAAGTAACAATAAGCAAGATCTGTCTTTCTCCAAAGTTTCTCTGAACATGACAGACCCTAAGCTAGGACTTCTTCCTCTCACATCTGACAAACTTTAATGCAACCTCAGGTATATAAATCAAGCATTTTAGCCGGGCGTTGGTGGCGCACGCCTTTAATCCCAGCACTCGGGAGGCAGAGCCAGGCGGATCTCTGTGAGTTCGAGGCCAACCTGGGCTACCAAGTGAGCTCCAGGAAAGGCGCAAAGCTACACAGAGAAACCCTGTCTCGAAAAACCAAAAAAAAAAAAAAAATAAAAATAAATCAAGCATTTTCTGATAGTAACTTATAAAGAAAGTTATTTTATGACAATTTTTGAGTTCACATACACTTTTATCATTTACTAAAAATAGAATCAAATTTGCATATTGCAACAAATGTGTTTTTTACATAAAGAACTAGATCTTGGCTAAATATTTGCTACTGCAGGAACTTTTCATTTTTTTCAGAGTTAATATTTTTTATTTCACAATTGTCAACGTTGAGAACCCTACTTTGAATTAATACACAATATAAAATGGTAGATGCATGTTTTGGACCATTTCAGAAATAGTAGGAAATTCTGTCTTAATTCCCAAGCCAAAATTTGTTGAAAGAATTTGATTTTGTTTGTTTTTACTTTATGTGCAAGGGTATTTTGCCTGCATGCATGTCAGTGTATCACATGTGTATGAAGTGACCACAGAAGCCAGAAGAGTGTATTAGATTTCCTGGAACTGGAGTTATAGGTGGTTGTGGGTGGTTGTGAGCTGCCATACGGATGCTGGATTCCAACCTCTGAAA